TGTCCCCACGCACTGTGGCAGCCAAGCATGTTTAATGAACCCAACAAAGTGATAAACTATGTTTGTGTTAATCCCTTTGATTCCAACCCCCTCCGTGAGCGTCAGTATTCCAAGCATCCTTTGATGTGCCCGAATCCTTCATAAGAACAATCAAATAAACACACTGGGTTTAAGGCAGAAATGCTAACAGGAGTCCCAGGACTTTTCATCCCTTCTGCTTGGTGGATTGTACCTCCAAAAATAGGTCACGTGTAACCTGAAAAATAGGTGAAGGGGGCCAGGTGGCTCAGAGAAATGCTCTGGAGGTTCAACTTTAGCCTCGACTGGATCTAGCTATACTATAGTCTGGCTCCAGCTAATACCTAGTTATTTCACCTCAAACATTTTCCAAAACAGCCCTGGTTTCCTGGGGGCAGATGGCTACAAGTAGTACATTTGTTTATCTGGGGCGAGCAGTAGCTTGTGGAGAGGGCTATGTTGTTTCTAGCCTGGCAAGTGCCTCTGGGGCGCCAATATACTTCCCTCAGGACTTCCAAGTCTCCTGGGTCTAGGGGCTGGGCCAGCAGGGGCTCTCATGGATGCCTATTCTGCAGATAAGGGGTGGGTAGGTAGCCCTGCCCACCGGGGAGTAGGGAAGAGAACACATTTACCCCTGTATCACCTTAGGTATGCCCTGGGCCCTCAAAGTCAGCCTGTCAGGCTGCCAGGGCTGGGCAGGGGAAGTGACTGACAGCTTGGTTATTGGAAAGCTCCCATCATTAGCCTAGGATCTTTGTTTGGTTTCTATGGTGACCTTCGCTACAAGGGCCTGACTCAAGCTAAAGGAATGTGTTACCTAAAACCATGGCCAGTGCTCATGGATTTAAGGAAGTATACTCATGAGCAGACCATTCTCTCCACCCTGTATCTCTGTCCCTCCTGGTCAGGCTTCCCAGCTGCATCTTCCATGAGAAGGAAGGACCAGCAAAGACAACTCTTGGCCTGCTTCAAATTCTCACATTCCCCTCACGGGAAGCCTGTGGCCCTCCTGCCTTGGGCCTTCTGGCCAGCTGGCACATGTGTCTCGGGCTTAGTCGGAAGCCCATGGGATTTCAGGAAGCTGTTGGGGGTATCTGGTTCCCACCACACCAGGTTCACACTGTCCCCAAGCAGGCATCGTGTTGGCCTCAGCACGTTTCTGCCTTTTTAACCCCGAGCTGCACTCCCCAAAGGCCATCCTACAGCATGGAACTGAAGGTCCCCTGCATTTTGCTTCCTAGTCCCTGAGTCAGAAGGGTTTTCAGAGGCTGAACTGCACGAAGGCTAGGTTCTGCTCTGTGTGCCTAGATGGTGCCTGGGTGGGAACAGCAATCTCTCTATGATGGACCCCACAAAAGCTGGGTTCTGCTCTGCGTGCCTAGATGGTGCCTGGTGCCCATGGGGGAACAGTGACCTTTCCATAAAAGATTTTGGCCTGCTCCCCGAAGCTGTGTCATTACTTAGCCCAGTCCTACCCTTATCCCCTTCCTCTCCCAGGTGTCAACGGGACTGCTTGAGGCATCCCCTCCACACTCTGACCTTAGAAATAGTCATCCATCAGCCCACGGCCTTCTTAGTCTGTGTTCATAGTACACTTCAGAAGCAAAAGAGGCAGGGCAGATTTTTTATTTATTTTATTTTTTTTAAGGAGGCACAAGTTGCTATGATTGGCATGGATAAGTAACAGAAGTAATTCACAGGCAGTGACCTAACTGGCTCTCACTGGGATAAACTCTTAAGATAGGGGTCCACTCACCTGCCAGCTTCCTCCTTTGCCTAGGCCACTCCCAAGCAGTGGCAAAGCAGGTACCCTACATGGACCTACTGGCTTTCCTCCCTGGAGGACAGTTCTTGAGTCTGCTGTAATGATGACTTTGCAGAAGGGAAAAGCCTCTAGAAGGCTTGGTCACCAGGATAATGGCTGCAAGGTGCTTGGTGGGAGACATGGGCCTATAAGTATTCTAAAATAGACTTGGTTAGGGCCAATGAGGACAGGCCAAGGGGGGTTGGCCTGTGTTGTTTTGCTGAGCGATATTTATTGGACTGGTTGTTTAATTAACTGCTAGCAACAGCTGGAGCCACACATGGCTTGTTCCCAGCTCAGGGAGCAGCTGGAGAAGCAGGGCTCACAGTCAATTGAAGAGCAATGACATTTTTCAGTGATCCCTGACCCGTAATGGACTCAATGACATTTCCTGCTAATCCATGGGTTTTTATACTCCAGGGTTTCATCTGTGGGGAATAGTATTGACTTACTTGCAAAGGGATATGGTCACTCAACAGACCCGGGGATGTGTGTGTGTGTGAGTGTGTGTGTGTGTGAGTGAGTGAGTGTGTGTGTGTGTGTGTGTGTGTGTGTGTGTGTTATTTTTTTCTATAAGAAAGGTGGCCTGAATTCCACAAATTCCTGTTCTGGTTAGTTTTGTAACCTTCTAGGGCCAGATCAGATCAACGAAGAGTCCCTGAGTCTGGGAACTGACAGGCTCAAGATAAAGAATGACTTCCACACCTCAGCTGTCTGACCCCCTGTAACTGAGCAGGCTAAGTGGAGGAATTCTCTTCGGGGTAGAATGCACTCATTCCCTGCAATTCTGCAGAACACTCTGTAGTGACAATAACGTGAAGGAACAATAATGTGAAGGGTCTCACACCCTAGAGCTCTTGCTGTCCCTTAATGCAGTATGATGTCTCTAGAGGTGAGCAGTTCCCATGGCATAGGCTGCCCCCTTAAGGCTCTGCCTGCAGAAGCAGAGACACTATTTTCCAAGCAACTCCATATAAACATGAGGGCAGGGAGTGGAAGAGGGAAGCACCAGGAAGTAGGCACAGTTAGGCTTCACAGAGGCAAACAGCACAGTCTACACCCCATCCCCTCCTCCTCTCTGGGGTCTTGGCCCATCTAAGAACTTGCTGAAAGCTATCTCCTTGCCTACAAGTAGGATAAGTTCTCATTCATGTGCACCCACAGGGTTCCTTTTGAAGGGGTTGGGGTGGATGTGATGTGAGCTTGGATTTGCACCAAGCTCAAAGCCAAACCTCTCTATCCTACTGTAAGGACCCTCAGGGGAATAGGGCACACCTAGGTGAGGTGCAAGGAAGGTGTGGAGAGCACAGCTATGTAGAGCAACGGGGCTCACTCACTTAGGGCCCAACCAGCCCCAGAGCAGGAAGATGGGAAGGAAGCCACTGGGAGGAAGCATCTTCCTGGGGTGGTCCAGAGAAGCAAAGGAGTGGACCCCATTATACCCCCATACACCTCACAGTGCTTGGGGTTCAGTCGGACTTTTAGCCAGGGCTTTAGCCTTCACAGCAGGTCAGGGAGGTGCACAGGACTAGAAGGACATGTGGAGCCATGAAGAGAGGCTGAGGAGCAAAATGGGAGACCCAGGAATGGAAGGGCGTAGCCCTGCTCCTTCCTGCTTCACATTGAGGTTTCCATGGAAGACATCATTCGGAAAGGACTTGGGGCTAAAACAACATTCAACGCCACAACCCTCCTTGCACCTTGCTCTTCAGCGCTCAGCCCTGGCAGTGGGCAGGAAGTTTCTTCTCTTCTTACCCTAGGGTTCTAAGCTTCTTGGTTTGAGCATTTCTTTTCCCACTTAGCCCAACTGATAAGGTAAACACACATGCATGCACAGGCACACAGAGATACGTGCAGGCATGTAGACAACACACACACTGGCACGCATGCCAGGAGTAGCGAGTCAGGACCTGCCAGGCAGGTCAAGACGAAGTTTGGAAAGAGCAAGATACCACTGCGAAAAGCAGAGGCCTCTTCTTTTCTGCAATGTTATTATATATAAAAACCATAAGGCTGGGAAGATGGCTGTCTGGGTGAAGGCACTTGCTGCCAAGCCTGAAGACCCCGGGTTCTATTCCCAAGACTCATGTGATAGAAAGAGAGAACCAACTACCTCAAGTTATCCTCTGACCTCCACAATGCACCATCACATGTGCGCACCACCCCATATAATTGTAATTTTTAAATTAAAACTAAAATAAAACATTCAGCACTGCTGCATTATCCCTGGGATAATTCCTGATGCCCACACCTGATTTATCTGTGTTCTATAATTCCTGAATGGTGTCACATAAAATGAATAATCATTCCTCCAAGGCTGGAGTAAGGATCAGAGTCAGGGCTATTCCTCAATACAAGGATGGATTATCACAGTGGATAAACACTTTACTAATACCTGGCTATGAACAGCTGAGACCCACTGGGGTAGGATAAGTGGAGTATGTGTGAGGATGACCAGATGGGATCAGGAATTGGGCTGGGGTAGTTTAGACTGCAGGCAGCAGACAGTCTAGTCAAGGAGAAGCAGGGAGAGGCTCAGGGGTCATCAAAGCATGACCTCCCCCTAGATGGCCATGATGTGGCTTTTGCCTTGGGTAGCCCTGATGTCCTGCTTTGATGGCAGTAGTTCGGTCCCTTGTGGTGGGTAGGAGGAGGAGACCCGGTCCTGCTCCGCCTGCTGCTGCCCTGTCCCAGTGCAATATCAACCTGCTCTAAGAAGCAGGGAGTGTGACTGGTGTCATAAACATGAAGGGCCAGGGCTACCCTGGAGGAAGAAACTATTTCCCCAGCTTCCAGGATGTAGTTGGGGATGGCTCCTTTGTCCTCCCAGCTACTTTTAGAATTTCATCCTTGGCAAGGCGTGTTAGGGTCATGATTAAGTGACATGCCTTACCCAGTGGTACCCTCAGGTCTAGAGGGCGGGGGGTGGGGGAAGCACTGTACACACACAACCCAGCAGTTTTCTTCTCTGGGCCCACAGCTGAGCACAATGGGCTCACTAGTCCTCACCAAGCACCTTCTGTGCACAGTGCCACAGCCCCTTGTCATTCCTACCCCACCTTGTCCCTCTACCCAGCAAGTATCTAAACAACGGACACTTATACCCTGTGTCCTGGCTGCAGTATGTGCACAAGGAACTATGCAATAGCCAAGGCTAGCCCTCACCCATCAGACTCACTTGAAATTCTCAGGGTACTCGGCGATGGCCATATTGATGACATCCAGGGCGTGCTGGTTATGCTTCTGGGCCGAGAAAAGCAGCGCTAGCAAGTGGAGGGCATTGGCATCATCCCTGCACATGGTCAGGGACTCCTGAAGATGCTCTATGGCGCTGGAGATCTGCCAAGAGAGACCACCAGCTTAGGGACCCAAGCCCCCAACTCAGATTTCCAGCCATGGCTCAGCTTGACTCAAGTAGGCACTCAAAAAACATTTCCTGCCAGACAGCCTGGCAAGGGTTAGGGTAGGCCAAGGTAAGTGTCCTGAATGGGGGCAGTTGGGAGCCCTGGGGATAGGCTGCCTCCCACATGTGGAAGCCCCTTCCCAGAGCTTTGCTAACAGGGGTCAGAGTCCCACTCAAGGGAAAGATAAGGAGAAGAGGGTGTTCTAGGAAGGTGGTACAATGTGAGCAAAGGCGAAGAGGCAGCAGAGATGAGTGACAGAAAGGAGTGTCCTCTAAGGTGGGTGGTGTGGAGCCTAGCTAGAGGTGAGGCTTGGTATTTGTACTTTGTGTTTTTCAACTCATTAATTATTAAGGGTGGTTCTACAGCAAGATTAGATAGGGAGGATGATCTGAGAAGTCACTGCAGGCAGTTCTAAGGGGAAACAAAGCCTTTCCTTCAGGTGCAGCTGACCTGCTGCCACATAGCGCCCCAACGTTTACGGCTCGGGTTTGCCTCCTTCCTGGTGATGAGTGGAGGAGGGCAGCTCCCACTGCTGCACTCAGAGTTCTGCAGACTGGTGAGGAAGATGACATGCCGCTGGCCCCCACTGTCTTACCAAACCCTTGCTACTAGCGGGGCCTGGGAAAAATCTGATGGTCTCTTCTGCTGAAGAAGTTGTATGCACGGTTCAGGGTGGATCAACAGATCATCCTCAACACTGCTCTCCTCACGTTTGATTGTACCTGAGTCCTTCCACCCTGTCCCTGCTCCGCCACAGAGGTCAGTAGGCTCTACAAACTCTCCTCACATGGCCTGGCCTGTGAATGTCTGGCAGAGTCTGGGGAGTTTGCACAAGTATGAAAGAGTTAAAGAAATTCTGGTTGTCACCAAAAGAAACATGCCCCATCAAAGGAGGCTGGGTTGTCGTCATGATTGCAGCAACTCCATAACCATCCAAAGTGACCAGCCAGGTGGCTCTACATTCCCTTCACTACCTCCTCCTTCTCTATCATGGCACACAAGACAGTCAGTCTCCTGTTCCAAGCCCACCTGCCACCTGAATCAAAACAATTATGTTCTCTGGGGGACAACTGGGGTGCTAGAGACAGCATCACCTTATTTGTGAATGTGAAGATCTGCGTCTCTTGTACCTGGGAGCCCCTGCTTCTTGGAATTTCATGTCCTACAGGTTAGGTACATGGTTTACCTGCGATGGATTAAACAGGCAGGGTATGTACAGATGGACATGCTTTGATACCTTCTAGCCCTTGTCTGTTCAAGCATTCCCATCCTGAAAGGCTGGCGTTCTAACACTGGTTAGCACAGGCTAAGCCCACACAGCCTGCTAATGCTATACTGGGTGAGCGAGGGGTTCAGTACAGGCTGGGGGGTCTCAACCTTCCTAACCCTGCGACCCTTTAATACAGTTCCTCATGGTGTGGTGACCCCCACCACCACCACCATAAAATTATTTTTGTTGCTACTTCATAACCGTAAGTTTGCTATCTTTATAAATCATAATATAAAATATCTGATATGCAGGATATCTCATATGTGACCCCTGTGGGGGTCGTGACCCACGGGTTGAGAACCACTGATATAGGCCAACTCTCCTTAAGCTGTAGGCTCACAATGCAGTTTGGTAATGTCCGGCCCATCATCTCTGTCCTCAGACTTGTGGCAGTCATTACAACTCAGTTGCCCAGAATGCATGAGGCTGCTTCTCCCTGCTGCCTCAGGAAATATCATCTTCATTGTCAAGGCCTTGCTTCTGTGGAAATGCTCATCCATTCCCTTGCCTTCCCCTCAGCCACCCACCCCTGGTGTATGTGGAGGCTGTGACTGCATCACCAGAGAGAGGACTGGAAGACACGGCACCAGGCAGGAGGGAAGAGAGTTAGGATGGCCTGTTTGGACAACATGCTAGCTACGAGCCCAGCACAGACCAGGCTCTTCTGTCACCCTCTTCTCGCACACCATAGTCCCCACTGGACACTGATGGAGAAACACCCCTCCTATTTACATCCTCACAGAGCCAAAAGTTTTGACTCCTGGGCGGGGCTGAGTGTGTGCACCCCAGCTCTTCACTGCCTTGCTGATACCTAGGGCAAGGTAGGGCAAGGTCTGCACTTCTTCTGTAGTAGGATGCAGTCAGTGGTTGCTCCAAGGAGCAATGTGTATGAGACACATCCTGCAGAGCCCCAGATCAGTGGATTTCCCAAAGCCTGTGTTCCCCCAAAACAAAGGAACTGCGGGACTCTTCCTTCTAGTCCAAGGGCATGCACTCAAGGCAGCTTCATTCCTCTGGCAACTCTGTCCACATCAGGGCTCTTTGGTCAGGTTTGTTTATTTATTTACTTTTAATACAGTGCCAGAGACTAAACCCGGGGCCTTTCATATGCTACGTATGTGTTCTATCACTGGGTCTTTAAGAGCCTTGCTCCTTAGCAGAGCTAAGATGCCAGCCTCTTGTGTTCCCTGTGGTGCTTTGCATTCCCAGTGTGCCAGGCCCAGAATCATGCGTAAGTCAAGGAGGGTATGAAGAAGCAGCTAAGAGCAGTGTGTCTACCTCCTTATTGTATGTGACGCTCCAAGGCTGGTCCTGGCCAGTGACTCACCGGAACAGACCCCATTATACCGAGAGGGACATCCAAACCCCCAGTATCACAGCTCAGGGTAGTCAGCCATGCTCTAGGCAGAAAGAGCTGGAAGGAGGGTCATAGAGACCCAAACAAGTGAGGATAATAGCTTAAGAGTCCACTCAAAGTCCTCAAGCCTTCTGGGACTTTCTAGATGTAGTGTCCCCAAGGAAACTGATCACCGGACTCCAAAAGCCTAACAAGCATTGTTTGTGGAAGATGAGTGCTATTCACCAAAGACTGGTGAATAATTAAAGAAATTAAAAAATCTATCACGGAAGGTTTATCATTAACGTAAGTTGCCAAGAAAGGCACCAGGTTCTTCTACAGAGGGGCTAAGAAGAGAGCGGTCTCAGGAAACTTTCCAGCTGCTCCCAGAAGCTGACTGATGTTTGCAGCCGAGAGGCTTAAGTGAGCAGGGCCTAGCCCAGGGCCTGGGAGTCAGGATCGTGGATACATGGTGGAGGTGGTGTAGTGATGAATGAGTCACAGGGGAGGAGGTGGTGTGAGAGGAAGGGAAAGAAGAAGCAGAAAGCAGGAGGAATGACAGCAGTGCCACCGGGTAGGAAACAGCTGAGATAGAAGTCTCAGAGATGGAGATGGGGGACTCATGCTGACAAGCAGGGCTAGACAAGCACTGCTAAGAGTCTAGGTGTAAGGCAAGAAGGAAGGGCTTTCAGGAGTGGAGTGAAGGCTACCATGCAGTGAGAAGTCAAGAACATAGGGGATCTGGGGGATGCTGAGAGGGTAGAAGACAGACACCCACTGTTCCTGGCTCAAAGGAAACAGCTAGTGGAGCTGCTCGAAGGTCAGGTGTGATAATGAGACCAGCCTCCTGGCAGGGACCCACATACCCATACCCGGGGCCTGATCTCCAAAAGGGCCAGCCACCTCTTAGCTGGGCAGGGTGAGCTTTGGGTGGAAGCATGTAATGAGATCATACTGTCCCTGCATGGGATGTTTAAGAGGGAGATGACACAGCGCCCACGACAGGGCTATCCTCACTTGTTCATGCACGAATGTAGACAGACCTCTTTTTTCTCTTTCTTGAGACAATGTCTTCCAGCATACGCCAAGCTGACCTAGAACTCACCGGCCTCAAACTCAAGAATTCTGCCTTAGCCTTCTAAGTGTCAGGACTGCAGGTGTGCACCACCACGCCTGGCTGTAGACAGGGCCTGGGAGGCTTCCAGCTTAGATAGATTTCCCAGTGGCAGGAGAGGAGAGCTGTACTGGGACCCCAGGACACCTACAGTTCCCAAGAAGTCAGGGTGTATCAGAGTCAGCATGTACTGAGTCAAGGCTGCCAGAGAAGCCCAGAGTACTAGCCTGAGGGCTGCAGGGTGCATGAGATCAAAAAGACTCTAACAGGCATGATTAGGAGAGTGTTATGACAGTTAGGATCCCCCAATACTGACCTCACAGATCACGATGGAGGAAAGGTGATTCTGCCAGGAAAGCTGTAGGTGGTTGTGGTGATGGTCACAGTTGGGCAAAGGAGGCTACCTACTGAACCCCCAAGGTCAGGAGGCTGCAGTGGTGTCTTTGGGGGGTCAGGAGAAAGCTTTGGGGTCACACAGAAATAGCCCCAGGTGCCAATCACACTTTCTCCAAGTTGGGGGTGGGGGGCAGAACACAAGCAAACGATTCTGTAGTCACTGATCCATGTCTTAGGAGACTGCAATATTCTAAGGAGGTGTAACCACATTGACCGAATCCCCGATGGACCCCGCACGCAAAGATGCTTGCATCAGTGACAAGGGCACCGAGGGACAGAGACAGACAGTCACACCGAGGAGGGCAGAGCCCCATTGATCTGAGGATTAGGAACTGTGACAACACACCTGTCGGACGAGGGCAAGCTGCAGGGAGACATAGAAGATAATCTGGGGGTCACCCGGTGCCAGTTCCTGGGCTCTGCAGGGGAGAGGGAGCCAAGAGTCAGTTACTGTGAGTAGAGCAGCATGCCAAACTTGTGCTGGGAGCTGTGGGCAATATGGTGGCAGATGATGGCTCAGACAGAGGCCCACAGGCAGCTCATGGAGGGGGACAGTGGCTCAAGGAGAGCTGGCTAAAGCTGAGGTAGGGCATCTCCAAGGTGACAGACCTCAAAGGAAGGGTAGAACAGGGATGGGGGAAGATAGGGTCACATCTGTGAATGGGAGTCTGGCTGTCTGCCTGCAGACATCAGTTAGCCTGGCTATGGCTCTCCGACTAAAGGACACTCACACTGCCCTGAGGAGGATGCAGGGCCTCTGAACTGCCAATCTGAGCAAGAAGCCTCGGGAACGCAACACTGGTGGGAAGAGGTGGGGTTGTTCCAGGGCTGGAATATCTCGCTTCTTTGGTTGGGGAACAATCTGACCCAGAGGGAGACTGGCATGCCACGTGCTCCAGTGGTACGATAAGTCCTAGCCAGGTCCTCCCCAGTAACATCCTTCTGTCACTTCAGTGTGGGGGATGGGAGCTTAGTGGGTCAGGCCAGGGGAGGAAGGTTCAGGTGGGCTGGGTTCCAGCTAGCAAGGCCTGAGGAAGGAGCTACATTGCCTTTTTCCCTCCCTGACTCTGTGAGGCTGTGGGTGGGAAGTCTCTGCAGCTCTGCTGTGGTCAACCTAGAGGACAATGACATCACTCCAGAGGCCCTGCTACCTGCAGGACACCACGTAGCAGTGGTTCGCCACCTGCCTGACCCTTTGACCCTTTACTATAGTTCCTCATGTTGTGGTGACCCCCAAACATAAACAATTTCATTGCTACTTCATAACTGTAATTTTGCTACTGTTATGAATCGTAATGTAAATATCTGGTATGTGACGCCCCACCCCAAGGGGTCATGACCCACAGATTGAGAACCACTGCTTTTCCTGCTTTCTGTCCAGTATCATAGGGCCAGTGGGGGAGCCTGAGAGCCCCAGGAGCAAGGGGTGGGCCTGGCAGTAGTGATCCAGTTCTGAGCTGACCATAGGACCTCCCAGGGGCTAGTGTTGCGGGCAAGGTCACCTGACACAACAATCCACTCCTGCCTGCTGGGTGACTGTCTGACATTATGGTTTCCTTATTTGTGAAAGGGAAGACAGAAACATCTACTTCATCATGGGACCCTCCATGTTATCACTTTGCACATGAAGAAGCAAAAGAAGCAGCAAAAGATGTAGGGATTTCCTCACCGCTCAAGTGTTTGCAGTGCCTTGCGGTGCAATTCATCTTGCTTGGACTTCAGGGTGGCTGCAGGAGACACAATGGATAGGGGGTCACTAAAGAAGAGAAAACCTCTCTCTGGCCCATCCCCAGGGCATAGGAACTTAGTGTGAAGGTGCCTATCAGGGCCCTGTTTGCAAACCTCAAGGTCCAGTAACAGGGCTCAAGGCACAGAAGAAAGCTGTGGCAGGGGACTATACTAAGGAACTGGTAGCCACGTCACTAGCCCAAGCAAGGATGACAGTGCCTGAAGATCCTATGACCTTGGGTGTGAGGGGCAGAAGACAACCAGTACCAGACTGTCCTATTATGGCTTCAAGGGTCCCTTGAGACTACACATAGCTGCAGGCACTAGGGGATGGGGGCAAAGTCTGGGTGGGGGACATAGCTCCCTCCCTTCCAGACTTCAAGGACACAAAAGTAGATGTCTGCTGTTCAATGGGGGAAGCCCTGGGCTGGACTAGAAGGTGGGGAAGGAGAACCACATGAAACTCCTGTAGCTACTTGGTACCATGTCAGAGGGATTTCAAAGACCCCAGAGGATTGCTGCAGAGCTGAGGGTAAAGGCAGGTCTGTGGGAAATGGAAGGAAGCTGCCACGGTGGGGTGGAGGGCTGATGGCACTGTAGAAAGGTACCAGGAGCACCACAGAGGGACGTGTGGGCTGGGCAGGACCCATGGTGAGAGACCCGGGTCCATGAAGAGGAATGGCACATTGGTGGGTGGGTGTCTGAGCAAGAGTGGGAACTCTTGGGACGGAGGGACATGTGTGTGTGTGTGTGTGTGTGTGTGTGTGTGTGTGTGTATGCATGCACATATCCCAGAGGAGTGTTCCTGTCTGTGGGGAGTAACAAGGAGGGTTCACTAGTAGAATGAGACACCTTGGAGGCAGCTGGGAATCTTGAGGCATTGCGTACAGGCAGATTCTGCTGGGGCCAGCACTCACCATCAGTGGCCTGCAGGCTGTAGGCGAGACCCAGGGCCAGGTAGCCTTTAGGCAGGAACTCTCCTGCTTCCTCCCCAAGGTTGATCACCACCATGGCAAAGTGTTCGGCCTCTTCCAGCTGCAAAGAGAAAAGGTAGTGGTCACTGTGTTGGGCCTCACTGTCCTGAGCCGGAAAGGGAACATAGTCACCAACCTGGGACGGTGTCAGCCCCGAGTATAAACAGAATAATTCCTACACTGGAACTGTAGGCAATGTGACTGGCTTATCCAGGCCATACAACTACTGAGCACTACAGCCAGCTGTCTGCTCTACCAGGAAGTGCCTCCCTGGACCTATGCCCCCAAGGAGCCAGTGTTCAAGGTCACAGGTGCCAGCTCTTACAAAGAGACAGAGACTCCCTGCCTGGGATAGCCAGCTCCCAAAGCCTACTATGCTGAGTATGAACCCAAAACAGGCCAGCATGTGTGGCTCCCTCCTCACATGGTCTCTGTAGGGAGGGCCTGCTCAGCAGACAGAGGGGAGCCAGGCCTGGCTGGGCCTTGAGAACATGTGCCTTGTTGAACATGGCCAACCCTTCAGAGTAGGCAGGCTGCCACACAGGCTAGTCTGGAGCTCGCTCCCTCCGTGAGCAGGAAGCCAGTGAACTTGAACATTCAGGGGAAAAAGGCCTTGGGCTGTTTTTGTCCTGGGAGCAGGGGGACTGTTCCAGTTGGAAAAGGCCCAACTGGCACGGGCCATCTGGGCACACATCATCACACACAACATGGGACACAAGGAGAAGGCACCTGAGGGGGAATTTATGGATACTTTGTGGCCCGCATAGCAGTGAGGCTGGCTGGGTTGCAGGGCTGGAGCAATGCCTGTGTCCATGCTCAAGTGTCTGCACCCACTCTTTCCTGCATGCCCCTAACCTGCTATGTGTAAAGCAGAGTAGTATGTCTCTGTATCACACAGAATATGGGCTTCCAGGACTACTTCCTCCAACATCTCCCTCCCATTCACACACCCCTTCCACCCCACCAGACAGACAACCATGCCCCGAGCTCAGGTAGGCCATCCAGCAGGAGAATCACTCAGGCAGTCCAGTGGAGGCAAAAGTCACACTCATGTTGGCTTCTAGCAGTGCCCAACCCTACTCATATCCCCACTTAAGCTGGTTTCCCCAGGAGGAGTAGGGTAGTTCCGCCTGCTGGCCACAGCTGGGGAGAGTGCACAGGCAGTCTCTCTCCCTGGGGTGTGGAATTGCCTGAGACAGAGGCCATGGGTGAATAAATGGGCTGAGTACCCAGTTTGGACACAGCTATGATGATCCATGTGCAAGAAAAGAAAACAAACACCCGCCCCCCAACCTGAAGGAGCAGAGCACACCCTGTGCAAAGACTAAGACTCCTCAATACACCATGTCCCCTACAGGGCCAACACTATTTTGAGTTCTGTTGCCACCCACAAAACAGCCCTTCTGTATGTGGACTCCCTGCAGTAATTATAAAGGAAAAACAGTATTAAGTCCAAGTAAGTTAATGCACAATACAATAATTACACATGGTATTAATAGACATGGGTGCTTTAGCTAGCAAATGGGGAGAATGCTATCATGGCAAAAAAAAAAAAATGAAAACTACACAAAAACAAAACATGGTACTAGGCACACTGTCTCTTCCTCTACAGCACGTGTGGCAATCTGAAAGCCTTAGAATTTGGCTCTGGAGGGCCAGGACCTCCCAGGCTCCAAGTCAGCCCCTGACTCCCAAGTAAGCTCTCTTCAGAGAGGCACAGCAGTGTGGTGATGAGGACAAAGCTTAGCACACAGCTTGGGCTCCCCATTCCTTTGAGGTTATCGTGTGGGTCTCAGTTCCTTCTTCTGTAAAATGGGAACAACAGTGTCACCCTCAGAGGGTTGCTGGGAGGACGGATATGATGTGAGTGCTTGGGGTGTGCTTGACTAATTGTCAGAGATGAACAGCAGTGCTCATATGTACTGCACACATGTGCCTTGATTACTAAGCATATGTGTGCATACATGTATATGTTAATCACACTATCAGTGAGCTGAAACATTTGCAAGTGGCACCAAAGGACCTTTGGAATCTAAAAATGCTAGTACTGGCTGCCTTTTGTCTCTGGGCCTGGCTGTTTATCACAGAAAAGTCGAGATTACACAGGACAAATGGGTACCAGGCAAACCTGCCCAGTGTGCTGTTGAGGTTCATGTTCCCTGACCCCATCTGAGGTTGAGGAAACCTCAATCAAAGACTGCCCACTATACACTCACCCCTTGCACAGGTGATAAGAAGTCAGGCTATTTCCCGCCCTATTCTCTTATGATCTATTCCTTTTTTTTTTTTCTTTAAGTGTTCTATTCCACAACCCACTGACATCTTTGACCCACGATCTGAAAACGCTGTTTCAGTCTGATGGTTCTCAGCCTCCCAATACTATTTCTACCAAGTCCCCTTGCCAGCCTCCTGCTGGGGACCTCAGACACTTCTTTCTGTGGCCTCCTGGAGGCTGCTGTCTCTGCAACCAGCTCAGATTGAGGCATAAGGTCCTCTTTCTCACCAAAATACAATTAGGTGAGGGGCTCCCAGCATTGCCCCCCCCTTCCCCAACCCCACTATGATACTGTCTCTAACAGAGCAGCTGGATGATCTTGCCATTTCCACCTAGGGAAGGTCCTCCCTGCCTCTGTGTTTCTGAACAGCCTGAAGCCCAACAGCCATGTCATAGCACCATGGCAGGAGGTTATGAGGCACAAGGAAGTTTGTGTGATATTCCCATCTCTATGATTAGCCATTCAGCCAGTGGTAGAACTGTGACCCCAGGCAAGTCTGAGGGCTTCATGGCTGTCCTCTGCACTTTCTCCTCCCTGACACTTGGGAAGAACGATGCACCACACAGGGTAACCCTTCGGTGGTTTGCTTTTGCTCTTCATGAATAAGGAAACACTCTGTGCCTTCCCAAGTTCCTTGGTCTCTGAGGCTTTCCTAATTTGGTCCCTGCATAACAGACTCAGCTGAGCTGGCACACTTGCTGGGGCTCAGGGCTGCCTTCCATCTCCAGGCAACCTCGTATACCTGCGCTGAACAGAGAGGGCCCTGCTTCAGGTCCTCTACCCTCTTTCTCTATTCCCAGTGGCTGGGGAGAGTCCCATTCCAAGACCTCCAGTTTCTCCTGAGTCCCTTCCTGTAGGGCCTGGAGCTGCTACTTTGTGGAAAATCTGTTTTTTGTTTGTTTGTTTGTTTGTTTGTTTGAGGGAGTAATAGGCACTTTCTCACTTCTACAAGATGGAGGCAAAAGAGCCAGCATTCTTCCCTGCTTCGTGAACAATCTATCTCCCTGGGTCTCAAAAGTGAAAGCAAAGGCATTTCCTTCCTAGGTGTTTACTGGGTGCGATGAAGAACAGTGGCAACCATTTGTCATATTCCTGACCTGCAAAGTGCCATGCAGACATACACAACCTCCTAAGGCTCACAGCTACCCTACCTACTGGGCACGCCACTTCCCAGATAATAGATAAAGAAACTGAGGCACAGAGAGGGTGAATCACTCCCTTAAAGTTACATAAGCTAGTGAGTAAGGCAGACTAAAGGACTTGAACCCTATCTGTTCTTCACAGCCTATGCGCTTTCCAGTACCCATACTGCTCCCTCAGGGGATATGAAGTAACCCTAACCCTAACCCTGAGTAACTCTAACCCTAGCCTTAACCTTGCACGGAGAACTCACCCTACGTCTGATTTTACCTCTTCTGCTGTCTGTGTGGCATACAACACACAAGCGTGCCCTGTCCTCTGTGCCTCCTGAAGGGGTTCCAACTTTTTTTAAAATTAAATCAGTTTTAAATAACTGTGTTTGCAGGATCCAAGAAGATATCTACATCTTCTTTTCTATCTGTTGCCCAAGTTTGCCTTTTGGCCAGAACGCAAGGCAAAGGAAGTGGAGAAGGGTACCTAACCAGAAACAAAGCCCACACCAGGCAAAGTTCACAGTGAAGGATAGAGTTCCTGGAGGGCGGGGCACAGGGTGTCACCAGCATCACTCTCTGGCCTGAGGAAAAGACATAGCTCTGCCCTGGAGAAGCACAGGGGGGTCATACAGTCCAAGGTGAGTACAAGCCAGACTTTAAGAGGTCCAAGAGTAGGGCTGGGAAGGTGGCTCAGTGGTTAAGAGCACTGGCCACTCTTCCAGAGGGTCTTGGTTAGATTCCCAGGGCATGCAGGGAAAACACTTAGACACACAGAATAAAAACAAAGAAAAACTAATTTTAGGAAAAGAAGAGATGGGTGGGGTGGGTCTGGGGAGGGATCCACATCTCCAGCAGCTCGCCCTTCCCCTAATCACCTGCAGAGCTTCGCTCCCCACTGAACTCTGACCATGCCAACACTCAAACTAGCCTCAGCCCCTGGTAACTGCTGGCCTTCCTCCCCCTTTCTGGTGACAAGTCTGCATGTTTCAGCTTCCTTTTGGGCTTTTCTATTTATGTTGTCATTGGTTACTTTGCTCCCAACTCATCTGATTTCAATTTGGACTGATTTGATCCTAATTTTATTACCATGTAATCTGAATGCACATAATCACTGTAATTATGCTGCGGAGGGAAACGGCTCCTCCACGGTGGGAAGACCTAAATTTAGGGCTTCCTGGCAAGGGCGCCATTGGCTGGGTGGACTCACAGCTCCTTAGAGCTGGCAGCCCGGGGGAGCACATATGCCCTCCCCCAGACCTGTTCCCAGAGACATTGGTATTTTGGGTTTCAACTAAGGGATGAACCCAAGGTTTACTCTCAGGGGGTCCTAGAATAAGGAGTCTGAGCTGGGGGTTGGGTAACAGCACCCCCAACCTCCCCTCACCTCCAGCTCCCAGCACTCTTTGCTGTAGGGGCGTGGCCTGGGACGCTGAAGCCTGCAGCTGCATGCCACCTACAACAGAGTGGGTGCTTGCTTTGGATCTAGAATGCAGAGGAAGGAATGGGGGCTACTTAGCCTGTTGGAGAGGATAATGTGGGGTACAAGGTGACAGTGAGACAGATGAAGAACTTGTTCTGTGTCACTCAGCATAGAAAAAGGACTCTCCCTGACATCGGGAAGCTGATGGGAACCAAAGAAAGCAAAGATTATCTGCACACAGTTACCAATTAGAGATAATATTAGTGTAATACTTCCTTGGGTCCAGTGCCCTGGGTCTGAGCTCATCAAAGACCAGGGGCTCAGGGCTCCAGGTTCATTCTCACTGTTTCAAGCTACTAATCTTTTGGGGGTTCCTTCACAACCCCCCCCCAATAAAGGCTATCAGCTGAAGAGAAGTAGCCTTTGAGCTACAGTCTACTAAAAGCCACCTCAGTAGAGAGTGGAGAGCAGACCGCAGGATGCAAGAAAGAAGCCTAAGGGGGCTGTTATAATAAAGTGTGAGGGGAAACGTGGCAGATTCCATGGCAGGCGAGGGTGACTGAGGCTGAGGGACAAACACGCCAGGCAGACAGAGCTCAGTGAGAAGTTTTATTAGAAAGGGAAAGGGGGAAGGAAAAAGAAAAGGGTTAAGGAGACACAGAGACAGAGAAAGGACAGAAGAGAAGAGTGAGACAGGAAAAGTCCTGTCTGCCCCAGGGGAACAGCAGTAAAGAGAGCAGGAAAGAGAATAGCGGGGAAAGAGAGAGGGAAAGAAAGAGCAGAAAAAGAGAGGGAAAGAGAAGAACGGAAAGAGATGGTAAGTGGGTGGGGTCTTTCTTTTAAAGGGGTCCCTTGCATCTGCGTGCAGACTATGCAAGTATGGAACCCTGGGCTGACCAGGGCACTGCCTGAGTGCATTCTGCCAGGTGACAGGGGCAGGCCAGCATAATGCCTGAGTCCTTATAGGTGCAATAAGAACAAAGGACTGCAAGGAGGCCATCTTTGTTTTGTCTCAAGCCAGGGTTGAGTTTGACCTCTCCCCTTCTTTACTGACTATGAAGTCATCTGAAGCCTCTTTTCTGATAGGTCGCCTACTACCCCTACCACTTTCCATCTGTCGGAGTCTCTGGAGACCACATTGTGAAGGGTTATACTGTCAACATCAAGGTTGGTGCCCTTCCAGAAACGCCCTCGCGCCCCTACACAAGGCGGCACCCTTTCTTCTACTGCAAACAACCTCGCCTGGTTCCCACTTGCTGGAGCACCCCCCCCCGCCCCGCCCCCGGAGGTTACTGAATCTGAGCCATGCTTGCCCTATCCCCACCGCTCACTCACCCAGTGCAGGGACCCAATGCAGACCTTGGCAGCCATCAGGGGCACGGTGGGGTCCGAGGGCTGTAACTTCATGCACTCACGTAGCAGCGACACAGCGTAGGCTGACTGCAAAAGCAAGGGTAGGGAAACAATCACTGGCCACCCCAGATCCCCATACTCTGGGGTGACCTCTGCCCTCAGTAGTTCTCCCAACAGTTCTTGTTCTGTACCCCTGTCCTTCTAAGACCCAGGGAAGGGAGCCCAGCAGGAGGAGGCCAGGTGACAGCCACTGCCTGCAAGCCCTCCTGAGTTTTGTTTCCCTCTTTTGGAGAATGGAGATCACGAACCTCACCCTCTGGAGAGGTGACAACAGCTAACATGATGACAAACAGAAACTTTCCAAAAGGAATTCAGATCAGAACCAGAGAGATTTGAGAAACAGACAGGGGATCTCTGAACCTGTACATGGAGGCGAGCTGGGGACAGGACTGGATAGGTGTAAGGCTGGGAAAGAGTTAAGGAGCCAGGGAGGGCCAGAGAGAACCTCCAGACAGGAAGCTGAGGGCCCAAGGGCTCCAGGACTCAACCAGGATTTGCTGATAGCTGGGGAAGGACATCTAGGCCCAGCAGGTGTGTCACCCATACCAAGAGGAATGACAGATAATACTCAAGATCTTATCATGTGCCAGGCATTTTCTTTCTAAGTCAGGGGCTGCCAAAAGAACCTGCAGGCTGAATCTAGCCCACTGCTTGTTTTTGTAAATAAGGTCTAATTGGGACTCAGTCTTGCCTGTTTGCTTATATACTATCTGTGCTGCTTCGTGATGCCACACTGGTGGGATGGCTGAGAGACTGGCTATTAATAGTCAGTCGAAACTGACTACTGCCCGACCCTTTACAGAAAGTCTGCTAACTCCTCTACCAGAGTGTTGGATTTTCACAACATCCCTACCACACAGGCAGCTTCACAGCTGAGAATAGAGAGAGGCTGGGCAGTGTCAGGCAGGCAGCGTGTTCAGAGCCACATAGCCTGAGAGTGACCAAGCAAAGGTTTGAACACAGCCTGGCCTAACTCTTAACCACTACCCTGTGTGGCCTCTGTGGTGATGACCTTGTCCAGAGGAAGCTGGTTTCCTGGAGAGAGAGAGGTTGTGTGTGCGTGCGTGTGTGTGTGTGTGTGTGTGTGTGTGTGTGTGGTCTGAACCTTCTGCTTTCTGAACCCAACACTTTCTGAGGGAAACTCAAAAGTCACTTTCCTGGCATGTAAGCTTCTATCTGTGACCCTCAGGTATATATATACATATATATGTGTGTGTGTGTGTGTGTGTGTGTGGTCTGAACCTTCTGCTTTCTGAACCCAACACTTTCTGAGGGAAACTCAAAAGTCACTTTCCTGGCATGTAAGCTTCTATCTGTGACCCTCAGGTATATATATACATATATAAGTGTGTGTGTGTGTGTGTGTGTGTGTGTGTGTGTGTGTGTGTGTGTCCAGGACAATTATCATGTTCTGGGTCCCACTCTGGGCTGAGCTCCTCATTTTAACTTAGCCTCCTTCTTCCCTAGCAACTCTGGGGGTGCCACTAAGGAAAAGAGGGCTCTGGCAGGCTCATCTGTCTGCAGTAGGATATGACTGGAATGTGTGTATCCCTGCCCCCCACCTTACCTCTCCATTCCCCACCATCTAGGGAAGAGCTTTCTTCCACCCAGGGTTACAGATTTCCCTGGGCTCTGACTGAGCTATGGTTTGCATACATCTTGAGTGTGTTCTCCAAGAATTCATGTGCTGGTGCTGGAACCTCAGAGTGATTAGCCCTGAGGAACAGAACCATGACGAGATGGGGTCTAGTGGGACCTGGTTAGGTCACTGTGTGTGCCCTAAGAGGACTGGACATCTTCCTCATAATTAGTTCTTGCAAGGAATGGGTATAAAATGAGCACGGCTTGCTCTATCTGGCTTCCTGCCTTGCTATAGTTTCTCCCACTTGCACACCCTCCTGTCATGTCAGCCGCCTTGAGGTCCTCACCAGAACTAAGCCAGTGGTGACACCCTGTCCTTGAGCTCCAAAACCATAAGGCAAAGAAGCTTCTTCTCATGATAAATTCTTCTGCCTCAGTTGTTTTATTCTAAGTAACAGAAAATAGATCAATGAGGCTAATTGTAGGTGTCTTCATCCAGGGCCTGCAGTGGGCTCAGTACTGGGCTGGGGTAGTGGAGTCAGATGTGACCTCTAAAGAGGTCACAGAAAGAAGAAGGGCAGCAGGGGGCACAAATCCCCTACCATTCTAACAATACAAGAGGACAGGATAAGCACCAGAAAGGGCCAGAGAATGACGGGCCTACTGGGAGTACCCAGTGTGGATTGCAGCAAGGGAAGCTGTGTGAGAGCTGCCAGGCCCCACCTCCTCAGAGCCCCTCTCCTGGGAATGCCTCACCACTGTCCCTCGACCCACACATCCCAGCAAGCCTCAGACTTCTCAGCTTTCCTTAGCTGCTGACCTTTGCATCCTGGAAACAGGATTCTCTCAGTCCTGACCCTCCACAATCTACCCACCCCTTCCCACCCCACCCCCACAAAGACCAAAAAACACTGCTATTTAAGGAGCCGAGCTGTCTGAGGACCCAGCAGTAGGAGCAGCCGGCTTCTTCTTTTTTTTCCCCCCTGTCATGCCGGTTACCTAGCAACGCAGCCAATGCAACTGCCGCATGGAGACCAAGAGAGGGAACGACCTAAATCATGCCACAGAACTCATCTGTTATTCCTGTGGGGTGAAACACCAGGCATATTTATATCTACCCAGCCGCACCTTCTGGAAGGTACAGAACCTGGATTCCCACCTTGGGCTCAGCAAAGGCAAGCTCTGGCCACTCCTTTGAGGTCAGGCAAATGGTTTTGGCATGCAGGATTCCCAGGGGGCGGTTGGAGAATGCCTTCCTTACAGAACAATTCACAGTGCACCAAGTGCCTGGATGGGCAGAGTGCCACATATAAGACATTCACTGACCACTCCAACTCCCTGTACCCACCTTTGGGGGAGGGGGGGAGTCACAAGGGAGCCAGAGCAGAGAATGACTTCCCAGAGGCTGGATGTTAAGCTGTCTGGACCTCTTAGGGTGCAGCTTCTCCATAAGGAAGAGGAAAGCCCCTCAAGTTCCAGACAATTGTGGTGCTTTTTCCTGTAGCTGGATCCTCCAGGAACTCCCTCAAAATTAAAGCTAACTTCTGTGGATAGTTTTGTTTTTTAAAGGGGGTAGCTTTTTTTTTTTTTTAATCCACAGAACAGTGCATTGCTCTAGGCCTTTCTTCTTCTCTGCTGTTTTAAGGCTAAAGGTGTTTCCTGTTTGGGGGAGGCAGGAAGAAGCTACTCAATGCTGCTATGGTGTAGGCAGAGGGTCCACATAAGCTCCAGTCACAACCCCCGCCCCAGCCTGCCGTTACCACCTAGGCGATAACAGGCAGCTACCTTCAAGTCCTACCCACCTACTCCTACTTCATCTTTCTGGCCCCTCCCCCTTGGTTCACACTGCCCCCTCTGCCTGGAGTTCTGCTGTCCTCCCTGCTCCGCTCTCTACTTATCTGATCCTGCCAGGTGCCTGCCGGGGAGTGTCTCTAATGCTGTAAGGCCAGCCCTGTCTGTATTCTGAGTTGTCCTTGAGATCTGACAACACCCTACTGGGCAGAGCGGTAGGTCATGCTGTGACTCCAACATGCTCTGGGAGGTGGCCCGTGTGATGCAAAGGGGGCTGGAAAGACAGAAGCCCAGCAAAGGATGCTCAAGGAGACTCCCCACTGACTTTGGCTGTGCCCCGCAGCCTCAGCCTGCAGTCTGACAAGACTGCAGCACCTGGTCCTCCTCCCGCTCCCCGCCAGGCCCTGGCCTGTCTTACTGCAGAGACCCAGGGCTGCCTGGCACTCCTCCATTCGTGGAGGCAGCACTGGCACACTGGGAGGGCCCTCCTCAGAGACGGCTGTGGGGCTAGAAATGGAATGTGGCACAGATGGGCCAGGGGGCGAGGGATTCCCTCAGCCCCATGAAAGGGCCCTGGGTATTTACAGCTCTTGGAACCATCTGCAGGCTCATGTCACCTCATTTCCTGCATTCATAGCGAGCGTCCTCAGCCCCATCTCCCTCTGCCCCCATCTCCGGAAAGGTTTTCCTTTCATGTCGATGCTTAAGATGCTTAAAATAGAGACTTACATAAGTGTAGATGGTGTGAGAGAAAACCAGAGGTGCCGGAGCAGGGTCCAGGTAGATGGGGGTGGGGGGGGGGCGAATGCCTACCCCGGTGCCACGTGCCCGGTGCCTCTTTTGCTGTCCCCACCCAGGTACCTCTAACTCCATTCATCACAGTCTCCCCTTCCCGATTCCCATGTGGGTGGTTGCCGCTCCACTCCACCTTAGAGCTCCCGTTCCTAGGAAAGTTCCCAACTCATAGGCAGGCCACTTGGGACAGGAACAGTGTTCCTCTCTCCTAGAGCCACCCCAACAGAAGTGGTGTGATAAGCTTGTGGTGGACCATAGGAAGAGAGAAGCATCCAAACTGCATGTGGCCACACCTACCATCACTAGCACCAATGACATAGGGCCTTCCCCCTCCTCGCTCAGTCATACAAATACTGAGTCAGTTCCCAGTCAACACAAATCTCTCCAGCATCTAACTCCTAGAGACCCCTGGGAGGGACTAGAGGTGCCCCAGAATCCATAGAAGGCATTTAACCCCCGCCCCCACAGCCCAGGGCCTTACCTTCCCACAAGCTACCATGGAGAGGGCCACTTGGTACCAAAGGTGAAATTCTGCAAATGCATACTTCATGGCTCGCTCTAGGCACTGGGGAGGAAGAACTGGTCAGCAGTGGCCCACTCCCCGTCAGGGAAACCTCTCCCCAAGTCACTGCCTTCAGAGAGCTGCAGGGCAGCTTTGTTCCTGTTGGAAACACAGGGGTAATCCAGTCCCTGCCACGGCATGCTGTGTAATGCTGCATGACAGTTATTTCTATAGTCCTTGATTCCTGCCTCTGTAATATGTGAATGATTTCATAGGGCCATTTTGTCATGCAAATGAAATCAGATTTGTGAAACTGTTTTTCAAGTACACACCGCAATAAAAAAAAAAAAAAAAACAAACTAGTGTTTATTATCATGGGACGTGGCAGGGCTCTCAGTTTTCACCCTGAGGTGAGATCTCCAATAACCCCATTCCACAGATAGTGAATCTGTGACTGAGGCTAGGGTGACTTGGCAAGGTCACAAAGCTAGTAAAAGTTAGGCCAGACTGAGAAGAAAGTGGCAAGTGAGGAAGGACAAATGGTCACCTCATGTGACTCCCTTTGTAAACCACCTGACTCCCAGGACGTGAGGAAGGTTGGGCGCTGGCCGGCCCTACCTCCGAAAGCATGACGTACTGGCCCCGCCTGCCCAGTGTGATGCTCAGGAGGTCATAGATGGCCGAAGCATTCTGCAAGCTCACTTTCCGGTCCTTCTCCTGCTCTGGTGCCCGACTCAGCACCACGTCCCGAGTCGCCTGTGGGTGGGATGGGGATACAAGGTAAGGACTTAGCATCACAGGGCCCATATTGCAAAGCCACTCACCGTCACATTTCAAGGCTGTCACAAGCCAGGTAACTGACCACACTCTCAGAAACGACCTCCCCTCTTCCCCACAGAGCTCTCTCCAAAAGACAGAAAACCCTTGGCCCAGGTGTGTATGTGGGGTGTCATTCTAAGGCTCAAGTCCTGGTATTCATTTGGAAGACTTCTTGACCTAGAGAGCAGTTACAAGGACTGTGCTATGGCTACATGCCTTTCATCTAAATGGATCACCTGTTCACCTTCAGCACCTCACTTCGCTTCAGACTATTGTCATCAATGCCCTCTCTTATTAACGCTCCCTCTTCCTTCATCCAGGAGCCAAGAGTAATGGATTGGTCTCAATAGTTGCAGGGCAGAGGGACATCCTGGGGTCTGAAATGACTCTTACACACCCTCATGGCTGTGCCTGGCAGAGCTGAGTTTTGGCCCCACACTCTTGCTGATGACTCCCAGCATCCCCTTTCTGACCGCTCTCCCCCTACCAAAGGGATCCTCGTCTAGCATCACCCTCCCTGCCTGAGTCTACTCTGTTCCCCACAGGCTACCAACCAAGGACTGGCCTGCTAGACAGAACAAAAAAGGAACTGTTGACCCCACCAGCCCTCCTCACAACCTCTTCCTACCCAGAGCCACCTCCCTCCTGCAGGCAAGGGGCTGGCACACCCATGGATGGGCCAGTGCTTGGGGAGACGGAAACCCCTGGTTGAGGAGACAGACTGTGTCCCTTAGAGGCTCCTAGAAACTAATAGGCCCCCTGGCCCCAAAGAACTAACACCCTTAGGGGCGTCTGAGGCAGAAAGACAAATTGGTGGCAATGGATCTGGACAGCTGCCTCTTCAGCCATGATTGCGATCGGTGTTCCTCCTCCTCAAGAAAAACAGATGGCCAAGGAGGGGATGCCTGGGATAGAGTGCCAGGAATGGCAGGAAACCCTCAGAAAGATCAACGCTAGAGCCAACCTGATAAAACAGAGCCAGGAGCTGCAAACAGTTAAGGCAGGAAAAGCTCCAAGAAATCCCTCTTCCCTCCCAGAGAGACCCACCCACACAGCCACGTGGGAACGCAACCTGCCTTCTATCCCTCTCAATATACTCCCCATTCCTCCACCTCCTGCAGCTCTTAGCTTCAGGCACCTACTGGGGACTGTGGGTGAGTGGGGACCTCCAGGTAGCAGTGGGAAAGGAAGGAGGGAATGAAGAACAGAGATTTAGAAAGGGGCTATGATATGCGTCTATCTGCACATGCGTACTGGAACCAGGACCGAGTAGGAGGAAGAAATCAGGATGGAAGGCAAAGGCCAGGTGTTCTGCACAGGTGGCTTGAAGTAGAGGGAGCATTGGTGGGCACATTCGAGGGCTGAGGAATTCATCCTGCACAGAAGCCATGTTGGGGGCGGGAGGGAGAGTGAGGAGTATGATGTCAGTACTTCTCTCAGGGTGACAAACTTCTTTCTCTGGCTGCCCCTCCTAACAGACTTCTCACCAGCTACACACCTTGCTGTTTCCTATCTTCAAGGCTCAACTGGATCTGGTCACTTTGTAGCCCTCTATGTCAGCCTGCTGGCCACTCCCAGCTCAGGTGGCTGCCTTCCTGGAGCCCAACCACCTCTCTGCCTCGAGGGTGTACACCAGGGCTCTGGCAGCCCCGGCTGAGCTCCTCAAACCCTTAAAGAGCTTCATAAGTGCACCTTTGTGTGCCAGCCCAGGAAGACGACCCAGGGCTATCACAGAAACTCCTTCTTTGTCTACCCTAGACCTTGCCCTCTAAGAGGACAGGCCTCTGGGTGTATCTGGTGGGGAGGAGGGGTGGATTTTCAGAACTGGGTGTTTTCAGAGCAGATGAAACACAAGCAGGGCAAGTCCTCTGGATGGCCTGGCCCCTTAACAGACAGACAGGCATGCTCTTAGGGGTCCTTAGTGCTTTTATATAAGAGGGGAACATGATTTCCACAGGGCAGCCTAAAGCAGAAGTCTGCCGAGCTGTTATCATAGCTTTGGGGGCAGGGTTACAAAAAAAAAAAAAAAAAAAAAAAAAAAAAAAAAAAAAGGGCTGGGCTAGTGTTGGTTGCTGGGCAGTGCCTGTGAATGTAACCATGGTAACGGGTTTGGGTGGGGAAACTGGAGCAGAAAAAAAGGAAGTCCTAGGGCTGGTTAGTAAGCCACAATGGGGCATGGACTCATGTGTGGCTCTGAAGCCAGAACAAACCTCAGAGGCAGGGGACACTATCATTAGGCTTACAATTCCTCCCCAGAGGTGCCCCAGCCTTCCCCATCCCTCTTCCCTGGGCTCATGGCCCTTAGGCCACACAGGCCAGTGGGCTTCACAAGTACATTCTTTCCCTATGTATAAGCACGGACTCAGACTCCTGCTTTCATCAGGAAGACACTCCAGATCCAGCAGTGATGCAAACACCTTTGTTAGAGCAAATACAAAGCCACCAAGCTGCCTTCTGTGCTCTTCCAAGTGTCACCCACTGTCACCCACCATCCCCTGTGTTGTTCTTGGGATAAAGGTGAATATTTTCCCTGCATTTTTTTCCCTGCCCATGCTGCCTACTAGTCTCTGCTGTGACCTGGCCTTTAGCTCCTGCTATGGGATGCTCTGCCCTTATTTAAGTCAAGCACTTGGTCCCCAGAGGTGTTCCTACTATTCTTCACCTTTATCCCTCTGGTGGTTCTCCCAGGGTAACCAGTCCCAGACTAGATCTTTCGGATTGTCAAGAGACCAGCTGCACTCCAGTCATCTAACAGCTCCACACCCTCACCACGACCCACCACTAACCTTTGGACAAATGTCCCTGAGACAAAACTAGGAGTCACCCTTGCCTCTGGCAGGCACAGCCCTTGTTGAGGCACCCTTCCTAGGTGCAGGTCTTGCGTTACCTCCTCAGGGAGGGAATTCTCACACCCGTCAACTTATCTGGCCCAGGAACCCCAACAGCAATACAACAAGTGTAACCTTCCCAGGGCAGGGCACTGAGCCCCTGGAGATGGACATCCAGAGCCAGCCCAGGCCCTGTGGCCTTCCTGACACCAGTTTAACTATCCAGACAGCGCCCAGTCTCTACCAGATGCAGCTCAGCTGGTGCCTCTGCCAAGCCCCTAGATAGAATCCCCATCTGAGTGGGGGAACAGAACACTTCCTAAACAGCATCTGACCCTTCCTCTTGTCTACTCTCATCTTATTTTACAGAAGACTGAGGGAGGCTAAAGGAGTCTAAGGGAGGAGGCCCTCAGCAAACTGACAAATACACACAGAGGACAGAGACCCCACTGAAATCAAGATATCCTGGTTTCACCCTGGCTGCTTCCCTGATTCCAGGTTCCTCTGGGAAGGTGTCCAGAAGTCTTGACCGACACCATCAGAGAGAGACCTTGGGCTGGTTTTGCTGAAGAAGCACCCAAAGCAAAATGCAGACAGCGTCTCCCCAGTAAAGTCTTGGGTACTGTCTCTTTTCAAAGAACAGGCTCTTGAAGCAAAATGCTCAAAGCCCTGCTTAGGTTTCACAGAGACAGCCTCTCTATCAAGCAAGCGAGTCTCAGGGTCTGCTGACACCCCAAAACAAGGACCTAGGAAGCCTCTGTGACCAGCGCGCTACACTCCCCTCCCTGGAGGACACTATCATGTGCGGCTCCTGCTGGTGCCCCCCACTGGCAGACATGATTACCAACAGCTCTTGAACAGCCAGTCCACAGAGCCAAGAGCTACCATGCTCTGTGACAGGCTTCATCTACCCAGCGACACAGTTCCTGTGGCAGATGTCACAGTCTTCCTGTCACGGGGACTGAAACACAGGCTCTGAGCTGGCAACCTTCTGCAGAGCAAGGCTTCGAGTTAGAGCAAAGCAGGTGCCAAAAGCTAGGACGCAGTGTGTCTCATCCGCTGAGTCCCAAATGGTGTCACACCTAAGAAGCCCTTTTCTTTAAAATAGCAGACTAATGCCTTCAATCTCCCAACCAGATTACAACCTACATGTCTTCAAAGACAACTAAGAAAGAATCAAGCCTTTCCCGCCCCCAGAACAAAAACATGCATTGAACAACCCAAAGAGATAGCTTTGTGTTCATTTTCTTACTTAATCCACCAAAACTCCTTCCACGGAGGCCTCGTTAACTGCATCTCACAGATGAGCAAACTCTAGCTGTGCTATGAGTGACAAGTTACAAGATCCACAGAGCCAGGTGCCTGGTACCGAGTACAACGCAGAGCTAGTTTGTTAAGGTGCAGGGTCCCAGTCCCAGAGACACCCCCTACATCCCACACTTTTTCCATATCAAGTACCTTTCTGAGAGGCCACGCCAGCAATGCATTCTTTGCTGGCTCAATAAAAAAGGGTCAAGGATTTAGCTGGCCTCTTTACTCCCTGCATGAACTTCAGGCTATTATTTTATATACAGTGCTGAGCATGGCCCAGCACAGCACAGCTGCTTGGTAAGATTAAGTGACGAACAGTGCTGAGTCCAAGAATGGATTGTTGGGAAGACGGTGGGCAAGTGGATGGACAGGTGGGTGGGCAAACAGATGCTGCATGGATGACTGAATGGTGGGTAGAGTGGTAGATGTATGGCTATGAGTGAGTGGGATTTAAAATGCTCTTTTAGCCCTAAAGATAAAGTAGGTGCAAAACACAAATCTTAACCAGTTAAAATCAAATCCCTTATGCTACTGGGAAAACATTGGTGATTTCTATTTATCGCTTGGAAGACATGGTTCCATCATCTGACCAAATGGGTTAGCACCAGGCATACGCACAGACCCCAAACAATTACTCTCTGAGTCCCTAACCATAAAAGCAGCTATGGCATTCAGGAAGGCACAAAATACCCTCTGCCAGGTGGCTGCTCAGAGCAATGGTGACAGTGACTGTGGTCTGGCACTGCAGGAGTGGCTTTTACTGCAGTCTACGAGACACTGCAAAGTCACAGCCAAGGG